CAAGTCCAGGAAGCACAGAGAGTCCCAAACAAGAGGAATCCAAAGAGGCCCACAGCAAGACACATCATAATTAAAATGCCAAAGGTTAAAGACAAAGACTTTTACAAGCAGCAAGAGAAAAGCAGTTACCTACAAGGGAGCACCCATACGACTGTCAACTGATTTCTCAACAGAAACTTTGCAGGCCAGAAGGGAGTGGCAAGAAATATTCAAAGTGGTGAAAAACATGGAACTACAACCAAGACTGCTCTACCCAGCAAAGGTATCATTAGGAATTGAAGGTCAGATAGCGAGCTTCTCACACAAGGAAAAGATAAAGGAGTTCATCACCACCAGACCAGCACTACATGAAATGTTGAAGGGTCTTCTTTAAGAAGCAGCTAATGAACTAAATAGATCCAGAGACACTGACGCATGCAACAGATGGTCATATTTCAGAGGGAAGAGGGAAGGGGGGTGGAGGGTGGGAGGAGATTAACCAAAGTAGTTATATGCATATATGCATAACCCGTGGACACATAACAGGGTGAAGGCCTGGGGAGGGGTGGGAGCGAGGTGGAAGGGGTCAGTTGGGGGGGAAATGGGACACCAGTAATACTCTCAACAATAAAGTTAAAAAAATAAAAACCAAACCAGGTACATAGTAGTACACAGCATGTTAGCTTTTATGTACGATTGCGTATGTACTGTGTGTACACACACATTTGCTTATATTTTCAAAAAGGATAAATGAAAAACTAATGTCCGTGGTCACCCATAGGGGAAGAGAGGGTACGTGGGTTGGACAGATAGAATAGACTCTGAATATACCTCATTTCATAGTTTTCACTTTGAAACCACTTAAGCGCACAGAGTTAGAGGCATGGAAACCGATCTTCAAAAACTGGGAGGAGAGGAGGAAACGGGAGGCACGTCGGCCAAACTGTCACGCTGGCAGTGGAACCAAACAAGTTTCCTCCACATGATTTTCAGCTTTGCAAGTACACAACTCTAGTGGATCTCTTCTAGTAATAAATAGGCATTGTCTGGGACAGTTGTACGCATTGTAGATTAAAGTGAAGAGGTTAATGTGTATATGTAATAAGGAACTAACATTTTCAGTTTAAGAGGAAAGAGCTACCAGTATAAAAGGGTTAGCAAAACTCCAATCTTTACATGTGCAAAAGGCAAAGAAATTTGCAAGCACATGGTATTAAAATTTTTAGCCAGTAAATTTTTATTTTTGCATCACAATTACCTTTACTTTCAAGTCCTTAGCGGGACTTGGCATTTGTTCTAATGTATCTTCGGTACCCCTCTACCTGGCTCCTCTTCTTTCCTTTCTGATACATCTGAAATTTTGACAGGGTTTCAGTTGTAGTGTCGAAAAAGAATCAGTAAAATATGGACACTGTTCAAAGCAACTTATGCAATCTTAATGTATCTTAAGTGGTAGAATTTAGGGTACTGTTGCAGAAGTATTTTGACAGTAATACCACTTAAATCACAATAAAGACCTTGAAAATGGAGTTTTTGTACCCAACTCATTTTAGTAATCCTAACTTCCTTTTTCTACATTGCAAGTAATTTGTGTATGTTTTTTCTTTTTTTTTTCAGATGGCTATTCGTATGAAAAGGAAGCAATGGAAAATTGGATAAGCAAAAATAAGCGAACAAGTCCCATGACAAATCTTACTCTTCCTTCAGTGGTACTTACACCAAATAGGACTCTGAAAATGGCCATCAATCGATGGCTAGAGACTCATCAAAAATAAAATTTGTATTATTTTGTATTATTTACATTTTATCATTGATCTCATTTGAATGATTTAAAGGTAAATACTATTGGAACATTATTAAAAGCAAAATGGAAGGAGAAGGTAAACTTCTTAAATTTAGTTACCTATAAAAATAATTAGTATCTATATTTCATTCTAACCTCTTTATTTTTACAAAAGCCTTTTTTTTACCAGTGAAAAAACAATCTTAACCTCTAGAGAAATGAAGTTTTACTGACTTTAAACTGCAACGTTCAATTTTATTAGATATAGGTCATATCCCATTCCAATCAAAGATTGGAATAATCTAGAATATAACATATTTAAATCGTAGTTAATAGTCATTCATTTGATAAAACTTTGGAATCCTTTTCTAAAGATAATTTGTAGCAAAATAATTGTAGTTTGTTTATGACTAAATAATGAGCAATTCTGTTGGATTCTAGATTTTCAAGGTGGTAATTTTCTCCATTGTCCAAAACCACTGTACAAGTTCAGTGTAATAAATTATCATGAATATCAAGTTAACTTTGCTGAAATATATAAAGTGGCAGATTAGCCTTTTTTTTTTTTTTGGATGTAGAATTCTTGAAGTTCCCACATAATATTCCAAGCTAGGGGGACTATACATTTAATACAACACTGAGTGTCCACTTAGAAGAAAACTTCAAGTTCAGGAAGTTGTGGTTGCATTGCCTTTACATACCTGTCAGAAGTCGTTCACCAGAATGGAAGCCCTTAGCGGGAACACTTGTTAGAATCAAACTGAAGGGCAGGCAGGGACCCAGAATCTGTGTGTTTACCCCCAAAACCCTTGCTGTAATTGTTCAAAAATTTGAAAACTTTGAAATCAAAGGGGAAAAGTGGTGTAATTACCTTATATATTTAGTCTTTTCCTATGTTTTTTAAACTTAAAGCTAATAAGCCCTGTGTTCACAGAAAGGTGGGAAGCCTAGCTACCACCGAAATCTCCAAATGCCTTTTCTAATTGCTTTGTACAATTTCTGTCATCCTAATATGTATTGTTGGATTTTACTTCATGTCATAGCTAGGTTTCACAGTCTATGATTATAGAAGTGTTTTTTTTCTTATAAGGACAAAAAGGTTCTAAAAGGTGTTTTGCTATTGTACTCTCTAGAGAAAGGATGCTAACGTAATTCAACTTTAATTGATAGAGCCCACCATTGGACCCGGTATCTTTTGTTTTGATAAAGTGATAGACTTATTTTCCAAAGGAGGCTATTTGGTTTTACATAAAAATTTCTAAAAATCATCATTTACAGAAAAATAAAAGGTTGGTTATTTTTTAACTGTTAGAGGTGATTGTCTTTTCTACATTTCACCAGGACAGTTTCCTGTTAAACTGGCTACAGACTAAGATGGCAATAATTTACCAAATGAAGTACTTACAAATAAACCAAAGCCAAACAGCTCCCCCTCCCCACAGACACACAAACAAAAAACTAAACCAAATCCGAAACTGCCCACAGGAAGGGACACCACACAAACCCTCTGCTGCACTCTCCAGGCCCCTCCATCTGCTCAGGACCACAGGGAGCGGCAGACACCTGCTCCTTGGGACTGGCCAGTAGCCTCCCCAGGAGACTTGACTTCTTGGCACGACTGAACCAAGAATCTTATCTTTCCTAAGAATATATCAAAATCATAATGTGTATGTAATAAATTCCACTAGTGGTCACACTAGCAGCTTCACAGGAAAAGTCACCCAACAACAATTATCTTATTAGCCAAAAACACTTTGCCCTCCCACCCAGGTGGTTTTTAACCTTTAGTTTAAATATATACCTGTGAAGAAGGACTTAAAATACTACCCTTAGCCTTGTTAGTAATAACAGTAACCACACAATAGCCTGCAGTAGTACAGAGAATGCTTAGGCTTAAGATCCAAGTCAGGATTTTATTACAGTACAACACAGTTTAATGTTCACTCTCATTCAAACTACTTTGAAGCTGAAATATGTAGGTATAAAGACAAATATACACTTTTAACAGAAAAATACAAATGTGAAGAACAAACTTTCATACTGATAGTGTTCCTTGTGTTGCCAAAATGTTTGAGAGTTAAAGAAAGCTATCCTGTTGCCAGTAAAAACATACACCAAAAACAGATGAGAAAATTATAGAATGCTCTCTGTGCTTTCTCCCCTATTTCAGGCAAAAAGACAAACTTTGACCCTTGAATGATTTGGGATTTCTAGAAGTTGTCACTCTTGTTTAAAAATTATTACTAAATGAAAAAATATTCATTTGGTGTATTACTATAAAATCAGGCTTTTCACTGTTTTCTTTAGGGTAAGATCACCCAGAATTAAAGCAAGGCAGATAGCTGTCATCAAGGCATTCTCTACTTAGTCATGGTTTCATTTAATACAAAACAAATTCTATTAATAGTCTTTATTCCGTGTGGAAAAGTACAGTAGTTGTGCAGAAACAAAACTACATAACAAAAGAGTAAAACTCACAAATATTAAAGAGAACAATAAATAAGCCATAGTAGTTAAAGCAGAACTCATGAAAAGCCTATAAAAAAATGACAAAGTCATACAAAATACAACAGGAACAAATGTTGAAGAATCACACCAGATTTCTATTCGTACAAAATCACAATGACGCTCACAGGAACTTCATTACAACGAGTTAATTTTAAAACATTCTGTAAATATAGAGGTTCCTTTTCCCCAATTCTAGAAAATAGATTTCACATCCCAACATATAAAACACACTCCCACCTCTCTCTCAAACTAGCATTTCAACATCCTTCAATAGCACACCATTTTCATATAAAAATACCTTTAAGCCAAGGTTCATTCCTGTACCTTATCTTTACAAATGAATAATACATCAGTCTGAACTTAAGTAGCACCTCAAAGGTGTTCATATAAAGGAAATAAAGTGCCGTTACTGGTACACTGTTAACATGCCATAATATTATAGTGTTCAGTGCAATAACCAGCATGGATGACGTTTACAAAGAACATGCAAATATATGACTTTTTTTCTTTTAAGGTTAACTACTTGAAATAGTTATATTTACAAGTCTGAATACACTTGGCTATTTAATATGTACAACATGTGACTATAAAGTAATGATTGTATAATAAAACAAAAGCAACTAATGAACTAGACCTTAGGAATCCAAATTAAATATTGTCCTTCAAGGACCTTGGAAGGCTTGTTCCAGGAGTGCTATGACTGTTAAAAGCAGTTGGGGAACCAATTGAAAGCTAATTTACGTGTCACCGGGAATGCTATATATTCTTAGTATTCTAGCCCAAATCCAACTTGACCACCAATCATGATTCCAAATGGCTTACACTGTTTCCAAATATTGAAACACCTTGAAATGGGAATATAGCTCCATAAAAGGTGCTACAGAAATACGATTAATGAGAACCATAACACTGAAAGTAAGTGCTTCATCTTCTTCAGGGAACTGCTATGAAGGGAACAAGACTTGGCTGTTGTCATACTTTCCTTAAAAAAATAAGCTCTATAACATTTATAGTCACACATACTCATCTAGAAATCACTGGGGTCTTAATTATATATATGTGTGTGTGTGTATAAATAAATTGGAATTTGACTCAATGGAACTGTAACTTGAAAATTCTATCTTTTCCAGAATACATCACCTGGCTGTTTAGTCAAGAGTTAAACCTATCACTAGACATTTATGTGATTTTACCACATAGCAAAGGACTAAACATTTATATTCTCTAAGAAATATGATTTTTTATCACATAGCTAAGGCTAGGAGAAAAGTGATAAAAACCAAGCAATTTCACAGGAGAAAAGCACGAGTTAATGTCTTCTTGGCTGTCTTAAAATTTTTAATGTAACAGGCATAACTAATTGTAGTTTTCAATTCTGGTTAGCATTCTTATTTATGGTGACTTCTGGTATTTATCAAGGAAACGGTATTCTGTATTTTAAATAAATATGATCCACCCCCAAGGAAAAAAAGAAAAAATACATGGCTAAAAAGTAATTTTCCTCATAAAAAAACATTTAATTAGCAAGAGCCAACACATTGTTTTTCAAATTCTACCAGCGGGTCTCTCCTCGGCTCACACATTGGACTCTATGAACGATCGCTTTGGTTTTGCTGAAGGAAGGTGACTCCTGTGGGCTTCGTTAGTGATGTGAGGCTGCTGTTTCGAGATGCTTTCCTGATACAGATGAGAGACAGTCTTGGTACTCCTGGTATCTTGACAGTGGGCTGGCATTTGGCACTTCCTTTCTTCTAGCTCCTTCACCTGCGCCCCATTGTGCACACCGCCCCCCAGGGTAGACACAGAGCAGGTTTTGGCTTGGCTGTTATATCCTGCTGCTTGTTTGAGAGAGGGCTTCTCCGAGTTCGAGGACTGCAGGCCAGCTGCAGAAGATGCGTTTGTCAGTAGCCCCTCCGGCACCGCAGTGTGCCAGGCGCGGCCGGGAGGATTGCTCTGCTGCTGAAACCTCGCAGTCTTATCCATGATGCCCATGAACGGGGTATTGCGTGGCCTGTGCTCGGCTGTGCCGCTCTGACCCTGGCTAACAGCCTTGTCTTTGACTCGAGCATCTGGTCCCTGGCCCTTGAAGCCATCTGAAAAACTGCTGTTTGAAGTCAAACTACTGGTTGAACTGGACATCTTTATGCTGCTGGAGGGAGAACCAGAAGAGCCCGAGCTGGTGAGGGAAGCTGGGTGTCGCATGTCACTGCAGCTCGCGGGCCCACCTTGGTTTAGAGGGGCCACATCCACGGCCATGGAGGCGTGAGACAGAAGCCGCTCTGCACTTTTGATCTTGCTTGGTAGAGGGTATGCAGTGCCACTCTCACTGTGCTGCGGCTGGACGCTGTGGCCCGGGCCCAGCCGCTCTCCAAACCGGCCGGAACCCGCCCCCCCAGAGAAGGTGCCTGCTCTCTCCGGATGCTGGTTTCTGCTGCCAGCGGGAGCTACAGTGATCCTACCCGGCATAGGGCTCGGGGGAGGATTCGGAGACGAGACCTGCAGTTTTGTGCCACCGTTCCTCATGCCAGCCTGTCCGGAACCCAGATGTTGGCTGGTCTTCACGATCTGGGCCTGCTTGGTGGGCTGCATAATCAACCCCGGCTGCATTACGGGCTCCCTCGGGGGCTGGGGGGCTCCTGGCCTGCTCTGTGGAGAGACTGGCCTTATTTTGGACTGCAACCCTTCTTGAAGGCTCCGGATATACGGGGAGGGGACAGGTGGCTGGGGCCTGGGAGTCAGGGAAATGGATTCTTCCTGTGGAGAAGTTTCCTCTTCTTCCGCCTCCTCCAGATGCAACTGGTCATCCAGTCCAGGGGTTGGGGCTTCCTCCTCATTATCCGAGTCATTGGCGGGGGCCGGGGGCGGGCACTGCTGTTTCTGCTGCTGGCTCCTCTGGAGCTGCTTGCATTCCTCTTCTACGCGGGCCAGGAGCCTCCTGATCTCCTGGTTGGTGGGACAGAGTTTCACCGCCTCTCGCAGGTCAGCCAGAGCGGCCGCAAACTGCCTGCATGTGGAGAGAGAAGATAAAATCACAAGCCACGTAAACACACGCTCTGAATGCAACGGTTCATGAAACAGCTCTGCTGACAGGAAAGAGAAGGGAGCCGAGTGAGGGTTGAACACTCACTGGAGGACAGGACCCATGTAACTAGCTCAGCGTTACTCAGCTACGTGGGATTGCTGACTTCCAACCCAGATCTGTGCGACTCGAGCGCCCTGCGTCTCTAATAAAGACCACTGGGCTGGGAATGAGAACAGACATAAATTGGGGGGTGTCAGAACCCTCGTAAAGTGATCTTCACCCTCCCCTTTCACCATGCCCACCTCTAACTCAAAAGTCCTATATGACTCCTCCCTTTTCCCCACCACCTCCACTTAATGTCACTAGTTGGCAGCTTCACTGATAGTATGACTAATCTAGGAAATTCATGTTGCAGTAAGTGTCAGCTGGGTTGGAGGGGAGGAACAGTTATTCAGTTGTCAAGAGAAATAAACGTCTGGCCATTGCTAGTAACATCCACAACTAGGCCTCTTGGAAGTTACCAGTTTAATATTAAAAGGAATGAGAGGCACCTGAGGGCTGCTTATGAGTCAGAAGCCCCAGAGTCAACCAGCAGCTCTGATACGACAGAGGCACAAGGTGGCTTCTCTAGTCACACATCTAACCCCAGACAGTACCTGCTGTTTCTCTTCGCTCTTGCCCTGGCATAAAAGGCTTCATAGGACTTTGGTTTCAGCTCGAGAGCCTTGGAAGCAAATTCTTCTGCCATGCCAAAGTCCTGGTGTCAATATTTAAATACATGAGTCAAAAGAAGCATTGAAACACGATTACAGGCAACTTTTTAACAGGAGTTTTGCTCTAAAGGTTAACAGAGAATTGGGACATAACTGGAGAGAGATGAAAGGCAAGGCAAGTTTGTTTTTCTGTTTAGTTTTAAAGTTAGGAGATAAAGTATATTAATATTCTTAAGAACCCAGCAGAGAAGCAGAAACAGATGATTCTGGAGAGAGGAGAATAGTGGTAGAAGCAGTGCACCAGAAGGCTGGAGCAGATGGGACCCAGCACCCATGGGAGGGTCAGCCTCCGAGGGGGGCGCAGGCACGTCATCCACACCAACAGGACCGAAGGCACAACACACGGGCACAGAAGCAGGCAGGCCAATAGATTTGGTGGTGGCAGGATGAAGTTTAAAAAAAGAAAGGTCGGAGAGAGAAGTACTGAAACAAATCTACTAGTTGTTAGTTACAAATTAACTGAGTTAGCTGCTACTTATTACAAATTAAAGTTACTGGCACAACTTCTAAGCAAACATAATAAGCCCCAGGCAGACTGTAACACATCTGAGTTGAACTTTACCATGTCCTTTCCTTTTGAATCTGGGGATGGGCCCTTCATGACACTGCTGGCACCATACAGTTGGGGAGGGGGAGGGGAGGAGCAGTTTGCACTGAAGCAGAGGAAACTATAACCAAGTGCCCTCTCTCAGCATCTTGAGAGGTGGGTCGTGAGAGCGATCAAATGTCCGTCATTCAAGAGAAGCAGCTTCCCATATGCCAGGTTCCCAGAAATGTGCACACGAATCAGAGAGAGGGTCCCCTGATTTGGTCTACGGGAGGGCTGGCCTTCACCACTGTGAAAACAGCCTGTTGCTAAAGGATTGGAATGAGGGGCACAGCTTACGTTTGTTTTTCTTCGGCAGCGAGACAGATTGAGATAGAGGGAAACTCTTAGTTCATTGAACGGTCTCATGTCCTCTCCGAATCCTTCTCGAGGGAACTTCCTTAAGGCATACTGGTACCTCTGGGCTGCCTCTTTCATCTTCCCTTTCTAGGATCCAAAAATCACAGACATTTATCCTGTACCCGAAGCTCCAAGATGAATAAAGACCCCACACCCTAAAGCTCCTAGAGGTTCTTCTCCCAAACCCTGATGGCGCTGGAAGGATCCTGAAGAGGAAGTGCCACAGCCAGAGTCAGAGCCAGACGCTAACCAGCGAGAACACGCGGCCTCGCCGGCTGCCAGGCTCTGCATGCTTCCCAAGGTGAGACAGAAGCCCGATTTACAGGACAGCCTCTGCAAATTGCCAAATTGAAAAAATTGTTATTCTACAGCAAGCTCTGGGTTTATCCACAAGACACTATTTGCCTTAGGAACTGCATTATGTTTTCATCTGATTTCTATTCTTAACATTTCTATTCTAACCATCTTAACATATCACATTACCTTCCGTTATATATTTTTGAAAACCTTTTCATGAATGCTTTTTAAAAATATATATCTTTATTTCAGAGAGAGGAAGGGAGAGAGAGAGGGAGAGATAGAAACATCAATGATGAGAGAGTCATTGATCGACTGCCTCCTGCGCGCCCCCGACTGGGGATCGAGCTCGCAACCAGGGCATGTGCCCTGATTGGGAATCGAACCGTGATCTCCTGGATCCTAGGTCAATGCTTAACTGCTGAGCCACGCCCGGCCAGACAAATGCTCTCTCATTTTGTATCTTTTTTTATTTCAATAGTATATTTTGAAATTTATATCTCATAGAGATATTTTAATTCTAAGTGTAATAGAAATCAGATGAAAACATAATGCAGTTCCTAAGGCAAATAGTGTCTTGTGGATAAACCCAGAGCTTGCTGTAGAATAACAATTTTTTCAAGAGGAACGAAAGCATGGGCTTTAAAAATCAGAACGCGTTGTTTTCAAGGCTAAAGAAATCCACATAATATGCTCAGTCAGTTCCGCTGCACAGCAGGTAGGAAGCCTGCTGAAAATGGCTTGGTGTTTCTAACATAATTGCCCACCAAACTTCACATTAAAACCACTTCAAAGCTGCAACAATGCACACTCTGAACTCAATTTCCAACTGATTCCAAGACAGGAACCCCACTGGGCCATGCTACATGCCTATTTATTATTATTTTTAAAACGGAAAAACTAAAACATTGAAAGTGCAGCAGCCTCACTGTAAAAAGGATTGAAATGGTCATAATCTAGGTTTTTGTTTTTAGGATCTTTTAATTCTGTCTAATCAGAGACAAGGAAAGAACAGTCATCTATGTAAATGACCTAAGCATCTATCTAACCCCGGGGTTGGCAAAATACAGCTTGTGGGCCATACGGGGCCTGCCACCGATTTTTACAAACACAGTTTGGGACACAGCCACACTAATCTGTTTACGTATTATCTGCGGCTGGCTCTGTGCCACACAGCATCCAACCTGGGCAGTGACACAGCCCATGGACCAGAGCCTTAAATATTTACTATCCGGCCCTTTCTAGTAAAAGTTTACTTTTGATCTAAACTGATGTCTTAGTTTAGAAAATTTAAACTCACATTTAAATCATATTTCCATTTCTAAAGGAAAATGGAATACAGTCTCCTGAGTATTATAAATTACTGAATATTTTAAGTAAAAACACCTCTAGAAACAGTTTCACATTCTAGAACCTTATAGACAGTAAAACAAGAAAGGCTCAGGAGACATAATGATCCCTTTCTTCTGAAAATGTCTCCAGAATGTTCCTTTCCCGTGTCTCGTGACTCCGGGCACTAAGGTGTCTCCTGTAGGACATGTCAGTTACATCAGAAGCAACTCTGCCTTCGCACCAAGGCTTCAGGCCCTAAGACACAGTTACAGCCCTAGGGATTCATTCAGACATAATGGTTCTCAGACACAGCGAGAGGTGCTCTCTGTCTGGAAGATTCTGCCATCAGGATATTAAAGCCTGGGCACGAGGCCAGGTTGGCCTCTCTCGCAACATGGATTCCGTGCACAGCACAGTCACATCCATTGCACACCAAATAACGTTGCTCGCAGAAAAGGGCAGACCCACTTACTTTGTACATCACGTTTCCTTCCTCCATCAATTTCTGTAAAAGTATAATCAAAATATCAGGTTTGGAAGTAGCCATCGCCCAAGCAGCATTTCCTGCAAGATAAACACGCATTGAGAGTGAGCGGCCCTTCCGCGGCCCTGGAGGAAAGGAGCTCAGTACTTCTGTGGCCCCAGCACAGCCGAGATGGCACACAGCGGGGACCCAGCCGCAGGGGACCAATGCTTGTCCTGCAGGCCTCCAGGAGCGGGTTCCCTGCTCCTCTCTCTGGCACTGAACTAAGCACTTGGGAGGGGAACTGTGCCTGCACAAACTGTTGTTATTCTGGTGGAAAAAGTAGGGGGGAACTAATGCAGCAGAGCAGCCATTACCCATCCCTCCCTCCCTATGGGCATCTGGGGTGGAATCAATTAAGCAAGGCTTCAGAGTAGGCTCCTGTTTCCCCGTGCCCGCTGGCCGTGAAGGTGTGTCCTGGCAGCCCGCGCGCCCCGCGGTGCCTTGGCCTTGGCTCTCCCGCCGGCTGCCCACCACTCGTGCTCTCGGCCCTCCCTGCTCACGGCTACGGCCAACTTCCCTCGGCCCACAGCCTGGCCACAAACTTCTCTCCGACCCCTTCTGAACACACGCAGTGGGGGGTGCTCACGAGCACAGGCTCGGACATCAGGCTGCTCGGGTCCAAGCCATGGCTCTGCCGCTTCAGGGACCCCGGGAAGCCGCGCGCCTCCTCTGGGCGTTGGCTTCCTCCCTGACATGACGGTGGCATCGCCACCTACTTACAGGGGGTGACTATTGAGAAAGTTAAAACATGAAACTGCCTGGAGAAGCTCCCGACGCTGTGAACTGCTTAGTAATATCAGCTCATAGCATCATCTTCATCACAGTCGCCTCCCCAGAACCACTGTGGCCCGAGGCCCATCCCACCGAACCGGCACGGCGCTGTTCTGGCTGCCGCTTCCCCACGTGTTCCGAATGGCGGGTCACCTTCCAGCCAGCCACACGGAAGGGGCCTTCCCCACTCAGGTCGCTCCACCCCCAACGTTAACTAACCCCAACCCTGTCCCCAGTAAGTCACAAACTCCCTCGCGGAAGCTGCGCTGGGGTGGCCATTACCCCGCCCAGCTGACTGCACTTACTCTAAACAGCGGCCCTCAAACCTGGCTCTCGTTACAACCACCTGCTCTGCTCGCCCGCCCCCGGAGTGCACGGACCTGCTCCCCGGCCGACCCCCGGGCACCCCTAACACCCTGCCACCGAGACTCACCTTCCATGTTGGCCTCTGCTTCCTACCTACACTGGCAAGGATATGAGCTACGTAAACATTTTAGGCGACTGTGATTAAATGAGCCTTAGAGAAGGGGGGGAAATCTCTAAACACCTGACATCTTAACCTGGGAGCAGGAAAATATTTAAGAGGTCCCTAACATGCCCTAAAATCTGAAGCTACCCTCCCGCTCACTGCTGAACTCAGGTGTTTACTGACCTAATTTGGCTCCTTTTCTCAGCAGCGTAACCACTACAGATGTGTTTCGACAACCGATGGCTCTGTCCAAGGGCCGCATCCCGCTGTGGTCCACATGCTCAATCACAGCTCCCTTGTCAACCAGGTACAGCACCTGCAGGGGGACAGGGCATGAGGAGAGGCTCCTGGCAGGGGCGCAGTCACCAGTCCACCTACAGCACTCTAATGTGGGAGCTTTTCTTGATCTTCGGTGACTATGGCCAGTAGGGATCCTAGAATGGACATGAAGTTGGCAGAGAACAGAGAAGCCGCAATCTGTGCCTAACGCCCGCTGTCACAGTGAACGTGGTATCAGCCGTGAGACTCCAGGGGAGGGGCGTGTTGTGTACACACGCTCGTATACTGCAGACAGGTAAAGGCACGTGTCATCGTCTGTCTCACCTCATGTCCCGGCCACAGAGACGGGACACAGTCACCTTTCATCCCCAGTCACTCAGGAGGCGCACCATGCAGCAGCTCCAGCACGCTGGCAGGCTACAGCCACAGGCGTGGGCACCTACGCGACACTCAGACCCACACGGGCCGGGCACAGCAAGCTGGACAGACGAGCAGCTTGGGATCCGACGGGCCCGATTATAACTCACTTCAAGGCTTAGGGATGAGACCTGAATATTGGGGCTGTAAAGATGGCAAGTTGGAGACCCTGCTAAAATAGCTGTCACTTGGACTAAACAGGAGAAACCACTCTGGCCACTCAAATTGCTCCCCTTACTGAATAAGACTGAAGCCAGTTTAGATTTTCAAGTGGATCTGATAGACACATCCTATCAGTCCGCCTGCTGTTCAAAGCGACACTAGAGGGATAAATATCTAGAATATTAAAGATTCTTCACGTCAACGACAAAACCCCAAATAACCCAATTTAAAAATAGGCAAAGGAGCTCTGGCTGACATGGGTCAGTGGTTAGAGCATCGGCCTGTGCACCAAAGGGCGCCAGGTTGGATCCCTGGCCCCATAGGGGTGCCTGTGGGAGGCAACCAGTCCACGTATCTCTCTCACCTAGATGTTTCTCTCTCTCTCTTCTCCCCCACCCCCCTTCCACTCTGAAAATCAATGGAAAAAAATCCTCAGGTGAGGATTAACAAAAATAAATAAAAAATAGGCAAAGGACCTGAATAGATGTTTTGCCAAAGGTGATATACAAATGGCCAGAATGCATATAAAAAGATGTTCAACATCACTAATCATCACGGAAACACAAATCAAAACCACGAGATTCAGCCGCACACTGTTAGCATGGCTACTATAAAAAACATACATAAATAAAACAGAAAATAGTGTTGGTGAGGACATGGAGAAATAGGAACGCTGTGCTCTGTTGGAGGGAATGGAAAATGGAACAGCCACTCTGGACACAGTATGGAGGTTCTTCAAAAAGTTAATGATAGAATTACCATAGGATCCAGCAACCCCACTTCTGGGTCTATACCCCAAAGACTATGGGTAGATCTCAAAGAATTTGCAGGATCTTAAAGAGATACTTGCACACCTATGTTCATAACAGCCCCATTCACAATACCAAGAGGTGGAGGAAACCTGTGTCCATAGATGGATGAATGGATACAGGGAATGTAGAAAATATGCACAATGGTCTATTTATTCAGCCTTAGAAAGGAAGAAAACCCTGACACATGCTACAACATGGATAAACCTTGAAGACACTATGCTAAGTGAGATAAGCCAGGCAGAACAGGACACACAGTGTATGATTCCACTATGTGAGGTGCCGAGAGCAGTCAAATTCGGAGACAGAAGCGGGCTGGTGGGGAGGAGTGAGATGTTTAATGGGCGAGTTTCAGTTTTACAAGATGAGACAGTCTAGACATCGGTGGCACAACAGGGTGCGTGTAGTTCACACACGGATCTCCTCCCTCAGAAATGGCTCAGGAGGCACATCTTGTGTTATTCATCAGAATTTTTAAAAAGGTACTAGAATGCTACACGCCTTCACTTTTCCCTAATGTTGATAAGCTACAGGATTTATTAGGTAGTAAAAGCTGAAAAATAAAAGCGTAGATATGTGAGGTTCAGTTAAATAGCGGTGTCTGAAATCGATATTAAGTATAGTTTACAATGCTCAGGAAATGGAGACCATTTTTAACTCTAATATCACTGCCTTTTAAAAGCATCAGGGCTCAGATGTGTAGGGCGATGATGGCTTTTGCTCCAAGGTCCACAGCTTCTAGCATAAAACCTGTTTCTCTAGGTAATCTTTAGACATATTAAATATTCAAAAGTGATAACTCTAAAGGGGCTGAATATCCCTCCAGGGCCTGCTGGGTACCAGAGATGAGAATCCTGACAAAGACACAGTTTCTACCCTGAAAAACATTTTGAATTTCTTTGTTTATTAAGGTTTTATCCCCTCATACCTCAATTAGACTTAGATATTGGTTAAAAAATAAAAATAAAGCATTCTAGATATTGCCATATCACTTTAAAAACAAAAAAGAATTATTTGATGAGTAATTTCTCATATACATAGAAGTGATTTTTAAATGATCTATATAGGAATTCTATTTATATGGATTACTATAAGAAAAACTACATATACGTGTGTGTGTTTTACATAGTTTGTAATCATGTATTTTTAAGCTCTTAAGAGTCTATTCAAATCTTTACTACAGTTCTGGAATAGACTGCGTGTCACAGAATTAAAGAAGAAGAAAAATACCTGTCTCGCTGGTGTGGCTCAGTGGTTGAGCACCAACCTATGAGTCGGGAGATCATGGTCCGATTCCCGGTCAGGGCACATGCCCAGGTTGCGGGCTCGATCCCCAGGAGGGGGCACGCAGGAGGCAGCTGATCAGTGACTCATCACTGATGAGTTTCTATCCCTCTCTCCCCCTTCCTCTCTCTGAAGTAAAAAAAAATTAAAAATAAAAGCCTTACCACACACACACAACACAATGACCGCACTCAGGCACAGCCGCACACACACTCTGGAGGTGGTTCAGGTCCTGGCTTCTCTGTGGCACGGGCCCTGCATGCAGGCAGGTGGAGGAGTGTGGCCACCTGCGGTACCTACGGTCTCTGCGTCGCCGTAGAAGGCCGCCAGGTCCAGGGGAGTCCGGCCGTTCTTATCCATCTGGTCTATTTCGGCTCCTTCCTCAACCAGGAACTGGACCACTGCCCTGTGACCTTTCAGACAAGCCCAGCTTAATGCTGACAAACCCTCTTTGTCCAGAGAAGAAAGGGCAGCACCTGGAAAAAAAAAACACCCCAATCTTAGGGCGTGAATTCCACAAGCCAAGCCAGATACAGCCAAACGTTTCACACGTGCAAACACCCGGCCCAAACACGAGCAAGCAGGTGCTGTGACACTGGAAGCGGCCTCGGCGACCTGCTCATCACTGTTAAAGCTGTAATAGGTACAGGGCCTTCATCACCTATTCTCTCCCCTTGTGTCAGTTAGGAAATCTCCACAACAAAAAAACCTAAACTTTGAATCAGAAAGTACTGAATGAGTGTGTCAAAGCTCTTTCTTTTGTCCATCCAAAAGAACCCCGTGCGGAGCAGACAGTGAGCTACCTTTTGAAAGGAGGAATTCCACAGTGCTCAGGTGCCCTTCACAGGCAGCCACCATGAGGGGTGTCCGGCCCTGCTTGTCACTTAGGTTCACGTCACAGCCGTGGTCTAAGAGCAACCTCACGATCTGAAATAAACACACCAAGTTACAGCCTCCCTGCTGCATTCTACACCATGCTCTCCACACCCAGGCAGGATTTCCCACCTTTAGAAGTAGTGAAAGGACTATCTTCTTTAAAAAAACCTCAAGGTTGTGTAACCTGTGTGGCCTATAACAATTTTCTATTGTATTCCTTTTAAAATCTTCTTCCAGATGTGTACTTCTTAAAACATGCCCAAACCAGGCAGGCACAGGAAACTGGGTGCCAATCACAATCAAGTAATGACCAGACAGCCACAGCGGGGCATATGGGATAACTGAGCAGAACTCACGGGGGCAAGTCATGGTCACGGAGTCTCACGCTAGCGCTGAAGTGACACTCCTCTAGTAAAGGGGGCAGGGGAGGTGAGGTACAGGGGAACATTCACCCACCCCACCCCACCCGACCCAATGCGCTGTTCTAAAACTCAGAGCTTGGTGGATGGCTTGATGTTCACAGTGGGCAATTTTCAGCAGAGCTTCCTGGAGGAGATTCTCAGCTCAGGACCATGCCTTTAAACAGTACACGTGATAAGGTTGGGGAGCAGAGACAAGGAACCAGAGAGGTGTCTCATACAATTACCACCCCAGAGGAAACGGCTTTAGACAGGGGTATCCAGTGTCTCCCTGCATGATATTCACTATATCGCTGCAAGAGAAGGGGGCATATTCCCACTGCTTTCTTGTTCCTGATACAGTAACAAATGCTTTCCAAACTTCCCCGTGACATAGGAAACAGACCGGGAGAGAGGATTAGCCACAGCATCATGTAGAAGCTGTGGGGTAACAGGTCATGCATGGAAAATCAACCTCTGGAAAATTAAAGTAGAAGACCAAAATCTTGGTGGGGAGCAATCACAGCTCCTACCAACAGAGCTAGCAGGAATCGGGAGAAACCAATACCATGAAGTAAAGTTGGGTCTACAAAATTCTCACTAAAATGAACATGGTAAGATCCATTTACTTGTTTGTTGCCTGTGTGTGATCCAGTACCAGGCATGAATGGGGTAGGTTTATGGCCACTGTTTACAAAAGGAAGGAATAAATGGCTAGTCCACTGCTCTCAAGGATCCCATGTTCCCGTGAAATAAAGACAACAAGCCATTTGCAGTAGCAGAAACCAGCCTGAATTGCAGGGCTGGGCGACAAGGAATGTGTCTTTTTCCAAAGAGTGCAGCAGAACCACTTCTCTTCCAGCAGTGCTGGACAAATGGGTGACTCAATCATACCAACAACAGATGTCACAGCAAGTCTTCTGTTGTCATATGGGGGCCACCCACTCCATGTCCCCTCCCCAGGTAAGGGGAAGCCGCTATGGGTCTCTGACCTGGGTACCAGCCTTGCTCCTGGTCACCGGCCTACCTGGCTGACTGTGCTAGCCTGTCAAATGCACGCCTTTATTATCAAATAGTACAGACGACACCAGCAAAAGCAAGAGCACTGGAAAAACAGGGCTCGGGGAGTCGTCTGTGGGTCCAGGGGAGATGGGCTATAGTGAGCTCTGTCCCCATTCATTGTTTGTGAAGCATTCCGGGGCCCACTGCATACCTGCCAATGCCCTTGGCGTGCTGCACAGAACAGCGGTGGGACCCCTCTCCTGTTTGTCCGGGACACAGCAGCTCCACACTCCAGCAGCAGCTCACAGACCTCCAGCTTCCCTCGTCCCGCGGCAGCAGTCAGGGCTAAAGGACAGTCACAGGGAGGACAGTCTGTTAGGATGTGGTGGCTACTGACACTCCTGCCATGGAGAGGAAGGGGTCTACATATCAGTGCTCCTGGCCCCCGAATCTGGGTGAGCTCTGACCAATAAAACAGCAGAAAAGACCGTGCACCAGCACCTGGGGCCCAGGTCCCAAGAGGTAGGCCCCTTCTGCTTCCTTGGAACACTCATGCTTGGGACCCAGATGCCGAGCTGTGAGGAAGCCCAAGTGCCCTGTGTGAGACCCACAGGGAGAAGAACCGAGGCCAGTGTATGGCTGGCAGTCCCAGGGGAGCTCTCAGCAGACAGCTGACCATGTGCACACCATCCTGGAAACAAATCTCAGGCTAAGTCTACCTACACCAGCTGAGGCAGGTGAGCAGGGATGAGCCATCCTCCTACCAAGCCAGGCCCAGCCCAGCCTTCAGATTCAGGAGTCACTATGTTTTTGCTTTATTTTTTACAGCAAGAAATAATCAGGACATAGTGTAACACAAACAGAAATCAGTATTACTGTCCAGTCTGGCCTCTCACCCTAAAGTCATAAATTTCATTCAATAAGAACTAATAATTATTGAGGGGGCAAAGAGTGTATCCTATCATTCCTGCCTTTAAGGAGCTCGGAATCTCTGTAACAAGCCAAGATTGGAGATTAGAAATGTCAAGAAAGGGAAGTCAGATTACAGAGGGCCCCGAGTGCTCGGGCGAGGAGTCCAGGGTGATCCTGGAGGTAGTGAGCTGCCAGCTGCCAGCTGGTAGTGGGGGTGCTGTGGGAGGTCAGCCAAGGGTAAATATGGCATGAATGAAAAGAGCACAGAGCAAAGGTTCAGCAACACCCTCATGTCAGTGACTGTGCCTCCCACCCCAAGGCATGATTCTTAATGGGAAGGGTGTTAAAGAGAGGGGCTTAGTTACAAGGGGGCCTCTGCTATGTCATGTGAATCACTGTCTAGAGGAAAGAGCAGCAGGTTCCAGGGACAATGCCAGGCCAGATGACAAGATTTCAGTGGAAAAGGGGACAGGAAGGGGCTGAGGGTGAAGGGTAGAGACACCCTGGGAGGGACCTCTATGATGTAGAGGAGGAAGGAGAGGGAAGAGTGTGATGCTGTCTCTTAAGCTGCTTGCCTGGAACACTGCTTCCAGATACAGCCTCATGCTTACAAATTCCAGCTTTCAGAAAAGATCAAGGTCCTACATATCAGTACGACATCTCAGTGTGAAAATGGGGAAGACACAGGAATAGGGCCCTCACAAGGGTGAAGTCGGAATCCCAGTGAACTTGCTATGGAAAGTGCCCCACCTTATTAGTAATCCGAGTAATTGGGAAATGGATGTGGGACAATGGGAACGCTCAGATGCCACCGGTGGGAGTGAGGACTGGGCCACCTGCTGACACTACTGAGTAAAGCTGAAGATGCACATACGTAACCCGGCAACCCTGAGCCTTGCAGAAATGTGCCTGGTGGTGGGTGCCCTTGGGGTGCACTGAGAGGCATGTGCAATGGGCTCACACCAGCCCCAAACTGGAAGCAGAGCAGAGAGCCATCAACAGTAGGATGCACCAATAAGTTGTGGAATGGTCAAACAACAGAGGGTCACATAGCAATGACAATAAACTGAACATAGATTCTGAGGAAAACACAACAGTATAGACACAGGGTGACTGTTCACATGTAGTGCAGACACTGGGCACGGCTTACAGAGTCTTGGAAGAGGCCCAGGCATGGGCCCTGGCTCCATGTGAGTCCCTGGGTCTGCGCCTTGCTCTCCTGGCACCTATAACCAGGGCAGCCAAGTACTCAGGAAAGCAGCTTTCCACACACATGGCTCAGCCCTGCTGTCCTTCTCAGAAGCCCTTTCAGAACAGACAGATTTACCTGCTCCAACTGCCCATCAGCCCGGCCACGGTTGAACCCCTAGGAGCCACACATACAACAGGATAAAAACCTGACATCTGGGCCTGATCTGTGACAGAGCAGCTCCTCCAAGGAACAAAGACGTCTCTACGGAGTGTCTCTGAGGGTCGCAGGGCAAGGGCTGGTGACTACCTCTTCACATGTCACAGAGAGGCACCCACATCTGCCCCACAGATCACCTGAGCTCTGTTTCCATCCCAGGGGCCTCCACACTGGGGAGGTGAGGAGGTGGTGGGGCTGGGGAGAGAGTGAGCACACCAGGCAGCCCTACATTTGGGGGTCCTAGGCCGAGGAAGATGGGGGAAAGCATCTGTCTATTCTAAGAATTCCTTATGACTATGGAAGAGTCACTTTCAACAGCTGCCATCGGTAATGACTGATTTTCTCCGGACAGTGCAACCAGAATGAGACAGACATGAAGTATAAGCCACTGCTGCTCTTGACTGTGGGGCCATTCCTATCTGTGTACAAACAGGCTCGTTGTCCTGATTTTACATCTAAACTTGAAAAGAAATGATAAACAAATGCCATTTACAGAATAGAATTTATATCAGTTTTATATATTGGTGCCCTGGGGTGGAGGTGGGAGGTTTCCATATCCAAAATGTTTGAAAATCAGTGGTAAAAGTGATCCTGTCTGCACTATGAGAGTCTGCATTAGAGGCTCCTGGCCCCGCTGCCCAGGGCATGCCCATCACAGTTGGTCCCTGCCCCGAGGTTAATGATTCCTAAACCACTGGGGCACTTTTATATACGTAATTTGGATGGATCTGAACATGGCCCGTGAGTGGCTTGTGGGATGGAAGATCCAAGCACTGAGCCACACCGCCTGGACCTGTTGCTCTTTTGCAACCTTCCTCCAGTTGGGAAAGGCCTCCTCTTGCCTCTCCTCCACCTGTACTGAGCATGACAAGCAACACACAAATGAACCAACATACATGCTACAGGCAGGGACATGGCCGGCATGTAAGCAGGAACCACGGGAAGGAATAAACTCAGGGCTTCCGTGAGATGAGGTCTGCAGCAGCTGATCCACCATAACATTCCATTCTCTTTTATTTGGTAAACAAGTTTCATCCGCATTATAAATGGGTCCTTTAAATCAGGATGTCTGCTGCAGCTGCTACTGAATTTCTGCAGTAACAGCACATCAGAGTGACAGCCCAGCTCTAAAAATAGAGCTCAGTGCTTTAAGGAGGCGCCAGAAAAGACAGAAGCTGGAGCAGCTGATGAGTGGACGAGAGCGCCCCCCAGGCCTGGCCACGGGGCTGGATTCCCTTCTCTTCCTCCGTGGCCTGACTCCTGTGCCTCTTAAGGTGATGAAGCACCAGCTGTAAGAGACTCAGAGCTTTCTCAGGCCTGTGCAGACCACATACTGCACACAAATTCTTAATGAGGCTCTCATTTTCCAATGACACCAATAAATAGGACATGTGTGCTGTCCTTTTTCCACCAAGATTGAATATTTTTGGCTGCATCCCTCAGGACCCCCACGGCTGGGCTGTATCTCAGTGTCAGCAGCCACAGGGGTGTAGAGATACCATATTCGGAAATAAGTGAGACTGAAGACTAGTCAACACATGCTTACCCAAACAAAATCAAGGCAAAGCTCTGCTCAGGAATTCCAACTATTCTGCTTAAAAGGCTGACCTCTGAGCTGGCCACCAGACTCCAAAAAGGGTCACTGCACTCAGCCTGGTCAGGAAATAGGAGAGAGGACCAGGAAGGAGGACAGTCTGCCCTGGCTGTGGGCCAGGCCTTGTCTGCTGGCCAGTGAAACCCAAAGATGGAGAAAATCAAACTGAACACACGGCACTTTTTAGGACTCAAATTGGGCACAGTTTCTTTCACTTGCAAAATCCTTAACAGGATGGCACTATTGTAGTTAAATTTTCATGAAAGCATGTATCTTTTTCTGATGATTCTGAGAGCGATTTTACCTCAGCAATTCTGTTCCCTCTGTCTTCAGAGCATGAGTGATTTGTCACGGCAGAAACTCGAAGAAAACCCAACTGACACGCAACCATGTGAAGTTATTGAAAACATCAGTGAGATACGGGTCTTTGTAAAACGGATCATTTCCAGGAATCTTTTACCTATTATTACATATTAAAGATCTCCAGGCAAAGATTGGACTTACAAAAACTCAACTATCACCTAGCCAGGAACACAGGCATTCCATACACAGGGCTGTTTGTAACATCTGATGGCAGCTCTGTCACTCCAACACACAGGGATGTGCTACCACCTGTGAACCCTCTCCCCTATAGTCCCGTCTCCAATCTGGAGACTCTGAGAGGGCGACTGGTCAGTGCCCACAGAGGCAGTTCCCGGATTCCAGAGAGCAACCTTTTCATACAATACACCTGCCAAGGCCGGAGCTGAGCACGTTAGCCCCAACTGTGTGCACCTGAAGCGCATGTCCTGCTGCTGCGATGGCTGAGGGCAGGACGGGGGAGGACTGGCTCAGCTTTTATACTTGTTTTTATTTGTGCAATTTATTTACTAATATATTGGCTTTTCCCATCACTTATAAAAATGAGTGGAAAACAGGAAAAAAATGAAAGTGCCAATATTAGTAGTAAGCAGCAGGGTTCTCACAGATGTCATCTAGCTGCAACCAAGATGGAAACCACTGGATGTGACAAAGGCAGTGATGTCTGAACCTCAGTTGAAGGCTCGCCGGACAAACCCCGCTCCAGTGTGAAGGAGAACAAAAGTAAAAAGTGCTCATGAAACGCTGAAAAATTGTCAGCTATTTTATCTGACAGGTACAAGGTAATTAGAGATTTCATGATTTTTAAAAAAAACACAATTTGGGAATGGCAGCCTCTCCCCCTCGACTTTCTAACAACTGTCTTTTGAAGTTGTGACATCAGAGGGTGACCAGGGTCTGTGTCTGGCTTTGCTGCTACTTGTGTCTAGGCTGAGCTGTCACACGGGATGGGGGG